ATGTGGCCTTGCTGAAAAGTAGGTGACGTGGAAAGAGGGCTTTCAGGATGAAGACTGACAATCACAATTTATTATTTTTTTGACAGTCACAACAAAGAATAAAACTATTTCTCTTTTCTTAATATACACTACCATTCAAAAGCTTGGTGACGGTACTTTTTTTTAAACAAATCAGAACTTTTATTCAGTAATTAATCAGCATTAAATTGATCAAATGTGACAGTAAAGACATTTTTAATTTATATTTTTATTATTCTATTTAAAACGTTTCTGAGCTTTCTATTCAACAAAGAATACTGAAAAAATATCCTGGTTTCAACAAAAATATATACCCTTTGTTTTCAACACTGATAATAACAATTGGTAATAAAAAACAGCAGCATAGAAGAGCATGCCACAGATGCTTTCGACAGGCTTGAAGTTGTATTTATCACAGAATACTCATGGAATTCATTGGCAAAGAGCTGCTGGTATGGATCTCCACTTACTTTTAAACAAACCAAAATGTAGAAAAATGGGCATTGTGGAGAGTGATAATGATCTCTTACCCGCGCTCTGATTGGGACTTGCTGTTGCAGCGTATTTAAAACAAGAATGAATCCTTAAGATGGTGATCACAAGAGCCACGTCTACATACACACACACACTGAAAAACATCATGGGCCAACACATGCCCTAAGAGCTGACCCTACTGGCATAAACTAGCAGTTTTATCTTACACAGAGGCTGGCAATCTCCCAACTCGAAAAGCTGCTCAAAGCTCATTAGACCTTTCATGTACTCACCTTCCCTCTGGCTGCCAGCAGCACTAACGTTCTGCTGGGACAGTAAACTCTGACTGTAGAGGCTGGGCAGAGCGGCAGCGGCATATTGCTGGATCCCAGAATAGGCTGCCTGAGTCAGAGCTTCCATAGCACTGCCCGAGCCGTTCGAGAGACCTCCGCTGCCCAGACCACCATTCAGAGCAGCCATGCCTGCGCGCACAGAAACACAGCTCAGCATTCAGACACACACGGGGGAGGACACAAAACTACTGATAGATACAGAGAAACCGCATTCAGAGACAAGAGACACAGCAGAAACAGAAACGAGGCAAAGTAAGTTAAAAACACAAGGAATGACACAGATCCCAGGCAGAGCGGCAGCGGCATATTGCTGGATCCCAGAATAGGCTGCCTGAGTCAGAGCTTCCATAGCACTGCCCGAGCCGTTCGAGAGACCTCCGCTGCCCAGACCACCATTCAGAGCAGCCATGCCTGCGCGCACAGAAACACAGCTCAGCATTCAGACACACACGGGGGAGGACACAAAACTACTGATAGATACAGAGAAACCGCATTCAGAGACAAGAGACACAGCAGAAACAGAAACGAGGCAAAGTAAGTTAAAAACACAAGGAATGACACAGATCCCATTTAACATCCACTGGTCACATGTGGTCAGTGCTAAATAATGGGGTCCAAAATGTGCATTCAGAGGTACTTCAAAACACGTATACGATCACATCATACTGGTACTGTAAAACAAAAGAAATAAAAAACAATGTGCTGACTTGTGCTTTTTTTGGGGGGTAATGTGTCTCAGCTGACCACTTGTGATCATATCACCCGAGATGGATTTCAAGAACCGGTATAAACAGGACATTTAAAAACCATCTGACCTCATACAAACTCAAAAATAAAAAGCTTTCTTTTTCTTACTTGCTAGGGAGCTCATGTTGAGACCTGCTCCAGCGCCCGCAGCAAGAGACTGAAGAGCACCTAAAGATGCCATGGGGTTCACAGAAGAACTAGTACTGGAGGTGGGAGAGGAACCCGCTGTGCAGAGGAGAGAAAACAAGAACCAGCTCTGACACATTACTAAGCCATCACGCATCTTACCAATTCAAATTTCACATGCTCTCATTTACACAGACATGCAAAGCAAACGAGACTGAGCAGAAACAGCAGACAGCAACGTCAGTGATCAAATCACAAAAGACAGCTCTTTGAAGCAACGGATGAGAATTATCAAGAGTAAAGGTGCATAGAATGATGAATGTACAGCAAGGGACGATTAAAAAAAATCATTACTCCGTTGTTTAGGTTTAGTGTAATTGGCAAAAAAAAAGTTTACTATAAAGGTTCAATTCGCTAAAGGGATAGTTCACCCAAAAATTAATGCTACACTACGCCTACGCTGGAATACCACTCTCTAGTGAACATGCGTACGACTGTTAGTTAAAGATTACGGTTTATAAAGTTTTAAATATGGATATTTTTCTTACACAAACATCACTTCAGAAGGCATTTATTAACCACCCGGAGCCGTGTGGACCACTTTTTATGATGGATGGATTCACTTTTTTGGGCTTCAAAATCTCGCCCACAATTCACTGCCATTATAAAGCTTGGAAGAACCAGGACATTTTTTTTATTGTATTTGTCTGAAAGAAGAATGTCATATACACCAAGAATGGCTTGAGGGTGAGTAAATCATGGGGTAATTTTAATTTTTGGGTGAACTATCCCTTTAACATTAACTGTCATGAACTAACATTGAACAACACGTATATAGCATTTATTAATCTTAATTTCTGTTTACTATAAAGGTTCAATTCGCTAAAGGGATAGTTCACCCAAAAATTAATGCTACACTACGCCTACGTCCTACGCTGGAATACCACTCTCTAGTGAACATGCGTACGACTGTTAGTTAGAGATTACGGTTTATAAAGTTTTAAATATGGATATTTTTCTTACACAAACATCACTTCAGAAGGCATTTATTAACCACCCGGAGCCGTGTGGACCACTTTTTATGATGGATGGATTCACTTTTTTGGGCTTCAAAATCTCGCCCACAATTCACTGCCATTATAAAGCTTGGAAGAACCAGGACATTTTTTTTTATATAACTCCGATTGTATTTGTCTGAAAGAAGAATGTCATATACACCAAGAATGGCTTGAGGGTGAGTAAATCATTGGGTAATTTTAATTTTTGGGTGAACTATCCCTTTAACATTAACTGTCATGAACTAACATTGAACAACACGTATATAGCATTTATTAATCTTAATTTCTACATATGCCAATATATCTTTAATATCAAGCATAAACTAACATTAGTTCAAGTATTATGAATGAACATTAACATAAATAAATAAAAGCTACACTATGTAACTTTTGGCACTGATGGCTTGAGGTGTATCTGCCTCGTGGTACACGTCATTAACCACACCAAAACACCCCACAAGAAACATTTATGGGAAAACTTTTTTTCTTAAGAATTTTAGTTTCAAGAATGTTTAATGAATATGGCCCCTGACTTTCTTACTAGCTCATTATTTAAATAATGTAAATTCTTCGAAGAAGAAAAAAAACTGTGTAGCTTTAATAAATGCTATTTAATGAAAAAAATAAAGTTGTTGTTAATTGTTAGTTCATGATATCTAATGCATTAACTACAGCCAACCTATTATACTTTATTGTAAAGTGACATTTGCTATTGACCAGAAACCTTACAAAAGAGCAATTCTATTTCACAGACTCATAAGCAAAGTTAAGGACAGGAGGAGATTAAAAAGTGGGACCAACCCTTGTAGGCGTCCCAGGCAGATTGAGCAGGCTGTCCGGAGGGCGTACCTGAGCTGGTGAGGACGCTGAGGGGGGAGCTGGAGGTGGTCAGAGCACTGCTACCTGTGGGGGTGGCCTGTGTAGCACTCGCTGCTGCAGCTAATGCAGCCAGATTCTGCATGGCATTCAGACCTGCCGCAGACAGCAGACTTTCCATATCAAAACGGCACAACACTACACGTCATGGCAACATTCACACGCACAACCTCCTTTCATTGTCGTAAAACTAACAGGCAGTCTCAACTGATTTTATGGGCATGCGATATAATAGAGGTTTAAAAGTGGCTAACTAACAGCCGCCATTCTCTCTAACGGGTCTGAGTGGAGCAGAGCGCATCAGACTCTCACCTGACATTGGATGGAGATTGTTGAGCGCATTTCCAGAGGATGCAGACTGTTGTAGAAGCTGCAAATAAAGCTAGACATTACATCAAAACAGAGAACAGAGAGAGTCAGGACTGCATCCAGGACTGTGATAGAGGAGAGGAGAGGAGAGGAGAGGAGAGGAGAGGAGAGTAAATCAGGCAACAAGGCGAAATTAAAACCAGCAGGAGCACACGTGGAGACAGAAACAAAGAGGAGTGAAAAGTGGACATTGAAGGGGTATAAAAAAATGAGAAGGGGGCTGAGAAGAATTAGAAGGGAGAAAGATGAAGATAGAAGTAGTTTTCACAGCACACCCATGGAGCAGCACTAACGCACTCAAACAGGGCTACACATCTATGTTGGCCCACACGAGGAAAAACAGTAAACTGTAACTGAGTTTTAGGAGTATCCAATCAAAAACAATCAAGAAGGATTTTGAGAAGCCAAATTAAATTATGCAGCTAAATAATGGCCAAACACATACCTGTAGCCCATGTGCTCAAACACAGCAGAAAATCACAGCAACATTTTAAAGGCGAATTAGATTCTGATTAAGAGGCTCTAATGGAATCGAATGTAATCCCTACAGATGCAAGTAATAATGCATCACAGTCTGGATAAAGCAAATACATTTTAGATGGAGCTAGGGGTGTTGAAATATAGTTGTACTAAAGATACCAGTGGCATTTAAAAAATAAAATACTGATATGTTAATACTACACTTCTTGATAATCTTTTATATTATCCAGTGCCAGTATCTGCTTGATACTCTAACATAGTAGGTGGCAGTATTGCATACTGGTTTCAACCTGTCATAAAACAAGGGGAAAAAAGACAGTCACGTAGCTACAGATGCTGCACAAAATCATGATGGAGGAATGACAGGTGAATCTTTTTTTGTACATTTACGGTTAACAACTCTCTTCACCTACACATCCCTACTTTTGAGTGCGATCCACTGGCAAAAAAAAAACAAGTTGACTGAAAGCATTATTTTTTTCTTTCAAAATTACTACAGATATCACGATAATAGGGGTGTAACGATATATCAATGCCACAGTTCGGTTCATATCACGGTTTTGGAGCCACGGTTCGGTTCTGTTCGCTGTGGGGGTACAGTTCATGGCATGGCACCAGCAATGCTAAAGAACACTAGATTCACTTTTAATTTAATAATAATAACAACAATAATTGCTCTCTGTTAGTTCATGTTAATTAATGCATTAACAAATGAGACTTTAAAAATGGTTGCTTTGTAAAGTGCTACCAAAAAATCTATTGCCTTAGAAAAATTCAAATGCAAACAAGTCATTGGACAACATTACTTAGGCTACATAATATGTAATAATTCAATATGACACTCAAGAGTCAAAATCTGTTTGAGAAGCAGCTGTGCATACTTCTGGCTAAAGACCTTCTCTCAGAGAGTGCGCCAGTACTTTATCGGTTAAAATAGCTTGAATGCTTAAATTGGCATGACTTAAATTGCAAGTGACAATTCCGTCAACTGTCCAAAACATTCGCTAGTCTTGTATTGCAACGTGCAGCTCGCTTGCAGTGCAAACTCAACATGGATATTATGGATGTGAGGCCATTTGTGCAGTTTGAGAGAGTGGGATAAGATGCGGTACCACTCCATACCAATCACTCACAGTTTGTGAAATTCCATCTCACAGAAAGTTTTAAAATGACTGAGCTGCTCTGATAATCTGTTTGGATCCAACCTACATGATATAGCATATAAATGTTTGCGGGAATTCCCCGCTTTATAATCAAAAAACCTCTGAGAATGTGTAGAATTACACAACATACCTGCAATCCCACAGCGAAACACCGCAACTAAACTAAAGAAATTCACAGTGTTTAATTATAGTAGTGTTCTCATTATAATGTTATGTATATGACAGTCCCAGTCATAGTTAATATTCTGCATTGTTGTTTGTGCTGTTTTTGTGGCGTAACTCAACCAAATGCATCTTATATGAGATAAATAATACACACACACACACACACACACACACACACACACATATATATATATAAAAATACAAAATATTGCAACTTTCAATTCCACAAAAGGCTGTGAGTGGCTGCACAAGCGAATTTGACTGTGCTAGTCATGAAGACATAACTCTGTGGATACATTCTTTCCATAAAAACACGCTGAAACATGGCATTTTCTTTTACAGTTGTGCTCTCATTATAATTTTATGTAGCCTATATGACATTTGTTCTGCACATGTTGCCCTTAATGGCACCTTCCTTTTCAAAGTGATTCAAGCAATTCAATACCATCATGGCTGTACTTGTTTGAAGTGTCTCAGCTGGAGGGCGGGGTAGGCCAAGAGAGTACCGCGGTACATACTGTGGTTGGTGTATCGCGGTTTTTCGGTTCGGTTTGAATATCGTTGCACCCCTACACAATAATGTTACCGTGAATTCTTTTGGCCATGAAAATTGTAGTAAAATTCTAATATTGTGACAGCCCTAGATGGAGCAAAGACCAGCCCTCATGTACTAAACATGAATTTTTACGCAGTTTACGTAGGTATGTAGTCTTCAATATTGGTGTGGTTTCTATGTGCATAGACCTCAGATGCAACAGGATCTGTCCTGTGTACTCACTGCAAGGTACTGTGGCCCAAGTGAGTTCAGTCCTGTAAGATTTCCCCACATAGAGGCAGCATTGAGCTGTTGCATCTGTTGCTGCAGCTGCTGGGCGATACGTTTCTGTTCTTTATCCTTCTGAGTGTCTGCAAACTTCACCACGATGGGAGAAGAACAGCCCTACAGAACACATGCAAACAGAAATTAAAATGCATCATAGAATTTAATTTTGACAAAATAAATGAAAGGGGCCAAGACAGCCAAAAATCAGTAAACAGCAAGTTTTCACCGATCTGTATACTCTGACTTTTATAGCAGCCTTTCATAATACACTACCGATTAAAAGTTTGGGGTAAGTAAGATTTTTGTGTTTCTAAAGAAATTAATACTTTTGATCAATTTATAAAAGACTTCTGTTTCAAATAAATGCTGTTCTTTTAAACTTTCTATTCAACGAATCCTAAAAATAAATGCATCACGGTTTCCAAAAAATACTAAGCAGTACATCCGTTTTTAATACTTCACAATATTACGTTTTTTACTGTATTTTTGACCAAATAAATGCAGCTTTGGTGAACATGAGACTTCTTTCAAAAACATCATTAAAAAAATCGTTCTGATACTACTTTTGAATGGTAGTGCAACGTTTATACAAGAAATATAGAAACAATACTTTGCTGTATACTATGCATTGAGGAATAGGCATTTATAATCTCTCAGACACAGAAATATCAAGCTGATACGCAGAAATGGTGTGCGTGTATGTGTGAATGTTTACCTCCATGGTCTGTGCCTGGTGCATGGATTTGATGGCAGACTGGGCCATCTGTCTCGCTGTGAATGTGATGAAGGCACAGCCTGCGGACACAGAGATTACAAGTGTGAAAGTCGATCACAAGAGGACACCAACTTGTAATTGACTGAATCAACTGTAATTAAACATAACAATAAAACCATAAACTAGAAGCACTAATGAAACAATCACACAAAAACACAACCTTTAATCAAAACGGGGTTCAGGCCTGGGGCCCGTTCTTCGTACGTCGCTAACTCAGTTAGCTGGATTTGATTGTTGACGATTTGGCATGATCTTGGATTGTTTGCTTCTTCGAAGCTCATCCCGGAGATGCTGTCATAGCAACAGGTCCGTAAGCTTAAACCTGCTCGGGAGCAGGCTTATTTCATGTAAACAGGATTAGATCGCATCTTTAAAAGCAGAATTGATACTTAAAATCTGTCCCAGCCACCGCTACTTTATTACAAGAGTATCCTACTGATCCAGGGACAATCATTTAAAATAATAGTCATTTAAAAATTAATTTTAAGATAATATAATAATGTTGTGTAGTCTTTAATACTATAGACACAGCCAGTTTTACTCACTGAAAGATTTATTCATTATAAAATAATTACTTCATAATTGTATTAGAGTCTTACACACGCTATACATATAATGTAGAGCCGAGCATTAATTTGAGTGGTGACAGATATTATGGGAGTGGCTTGATGGAGCGCAGGAGATGCAGATAACATGATCTTGACCATTAAGAAACTTTAATTAATGCGGTCACGTAACAAATCTGTTCAAATATAAAATTAAATGAATTGCTAATTACTACATTGAAACAAAAATGTAAAGCCTGAACAAATATTAGAAATCGTGAATATAAATAATTGGGAATAATGTAAAAAATTAAATAAAAACAGTCCACATTTCATTTATCTATTATACCATTTATGTCGTTTTGTTAGCTTGGCTGTTTCCTTATAAAAGTTCAGAAATTGGCAAGTTTTTCGTCAGGTGTCTTTTTTAATTATATGATGTCATTACATTGCTGTCTTGCTGCCAGCCAATCGTGGTTTCGAGTATCGATACATAGCCCCTTATAAACCAACCCATGAACGCGCAATTATCTCAGATAACTCAATCCAGCCATACTAATCATCAACAACAAGTGCGTTCAAAGAACCGAATTAGCGCGATGATATCATCTTGGATGTGACATTTAATCTCGGATGTAATAAGCAACGTACGAAGAACGGGCCCCTGGTCTCTTTGGAAAGTGAATGGGTTTGAGGGCTGCTGAGTCAATATGGGTCATGCCTATCACTTCAGCAGTTCCCATGGTGATGGACAGCAAGTTCACTCAAGCCAATTCTAAAATAAATAGTGTGGGCCTCAATGTGCATTATGTTCCCTTGGTTACACTTTGGATAACTTACAGGTAAACTTTGGATAGATCACAGGTAAACGACAGCTAGAAACTAAGAGAATAAAATTCCCATGGTTATTTAACTTGTGATATCAGTTGCCATGTTGAGTCTGGGATGAATGAAGGCATTTTCATTTGAGCCGACAGGAGCCAATCGAGTCTCATTTTTCTCTGATGGGTTGTGTCTGCAGCTATTAGTTACGCAAAACACTGCCTCCTCAAAATAACTTAAATGAGAGTGGGCAGAGTGACTGGTGAAGATGTACTTCTTGTTTATTCGCTAAAAATTTATTTCTTGCGCTTTAAGTCAAAACATTCACAAGACTGCCTCTATTCCCGTAAGTGTTTATCGTACCCAATCATGTGCGCGTAATTTGCTTTGGATGGTGGAAGTGTTGATATAAATGCATCTGAGTTCTCACCACGGCTCAGTCCATCAGGGCCTCTCAGTATGCGGCACTCCTCAATTTGACCGTATGGAGAAAACATGAGCCTTAAGTCATTCTCATTGCACTTCTTTGAAATCATTCCAACAAACAGCTTTCTATCTTCTATCGCTGAAACAAAAGAAAAGAGTGTTATGGCAGCACAGCCTCTGTGACAGTCACTGTGGAAGTTAAAGTGGGGTCTAATGCTATTTCATGCATTCAGAGTTATTTACACTGGCCATGTTTAGCATGATAATCCAACTCTTTAACAAAGTTTCAAAAATCTATTTGTACGCATGACGGAGTATTTCTGTGCCAAATACACTCCTTCCGGGTTTGAATAAGAGCATGGCTCTTCATGACGTCATGAAGAGTGGAATTCCTTGTATGGGCACTTCTCCCGGAAGAGCGCGTGCACACAGCAAATAGAGCGAGCGAGCGCGCGCGTCCTCCAACGTGCTTCATTCGGGTTACGGAAGACGTCAGCAGCGCTGCACAGGACTCGCTCCAGAAGAATGTCACCAAAGAAGTGTGTTTTTGGATGTGAGGGAAAGAGAACCTTGTTCAACTTCCCAAAGAACCCAGCGTTACGTGAACAGTGGATGCGGTTTGTTTTTCCGGGACAGCAACGAAGTTTCGCACGTGTGCGTTTGTTCCCATCATTTCGGTGACAAATGTTTTATAAACAAGGCCCAGTTCGATGCTGGATTTGCAGATCGTTTGATACAGAGATAAAATATCCCGGTCATAAAATATGACCGGGATATTTTATGCCGGTCATGAGCTGGAAACGCAGGCGGTGAGTAAAACTGCATCACATTTCTATTTTGTTGGCAATCGGCGCCTAAGTGCTCGGGACTTTAGCGCCACCCACAGCACACCTCCAGAAGCTTGACTGTTTTCGGAGAGAATCGTAAAGCTGCACCTTTCTTCTACAAATCTGATAAAACTAAAGACTCTTCCGAGACATGAAGGATGCAATACTACTAGGTACTCAAGATTAACATGAGATTGGCAAAAAAATGTGCGTTATGTCCCCTTTAAGAATAAGATTTTGTAATGTTTTCGAAGAAAGTCTCTTATGTTCAAAAAAGGCTGCATTTATTTGATCACAAATACAGTAAAACAGTACTATTGTGGAATTACAATTTAAATTTTTTTCATTACTCCAAACCTCAGTGTCACTTGATCCTTCAGAAATCAATCGAATATGCGTTTTGCTGCTTAAAGTTTTTTTTTTAAAATTTTTTAAAGAAATACTTTTGTAGCATTATCGGTTTACTGTATCCTTGCTGAAACAATTGTTTCTTTCTACCAAATAAATAAATAAAAATCTGACCCTAAACTTTTGAACATTAGTGTATATGAATGGAGGACTGTCATAATATTGTGGAAAATTAAAGTCACTCACCATTGTTTTTCTCACTGTCTGCAGGCTTCATCTGTATGGGATGATGCATCTGTAGAGACAGAGAGAGAGAGACAGAGAGAGAGACAGAGAGACAGAGAGAGAGAGAATATCACATGTGACTTATCAACACTGACATTTTCCAGCCACTATAAGAAATCAGCTGTTTAAAAAAGCTTTAACAGTTCCATTGGGTGTACTGTAAAAGCTTTTATAAAAGCATGTCAATATGTGTGTGGATTTGATGTATTTTTAAAAGCAATAATAGTAGAAGGCCAGATCATCTGACGACACGCATGAGGATTAATGGCTTACTGATATAATAAAAGAAAAACTAGATCCTTTTCTCACCCCTGGAAGAATCTTCATGTTGTGAAGGGCATTTTGTGCTTCTAATGCAGATTTACGGTTGTAATATGTGACAAAACAACAACCTGCAAATACAATAAATGGCCTGTGAACCAAGTCCAAGATGACAACATTTCCAATGAGACCAATTTCTAGAACCCTGTTCCAAATCCTAGTGGGCAGCATTTTAAGGAATCGCTGGCATATTTCTAAGGTAACAATTATTTCTTCTTACCTTAGAAAAAGTAGGCTACTTAATTAGGCTGCCATCTAAGACAACTTGTTTTTATGCAGCACTGCATGTGTGTGCGCTATATGCTCACTAGGTTTTGGAACAGTCTGTATAAGTCTTGAGAGTGACTGACACAGAACATGTCTCAATCTGCAGTGTACTGACTGTCAAGTACCTTTACTCTGTGGGGGGTTCTGACTCCTGTCCCGAAGAATATTGATTTCATAAACTGCACCATAGGGCTCAAACAGCTCACGCAGCTGATCCTCTGACCACGTCCGAGGGACCTGACCCACAAACATCTTTATAGCATCAATGTCAGGCTGGTCTGGGTGGTCCAGAGACCCATTCATCTTCTTGGTTCTACAAAAAAAAAAAAAAAAAAGTCTGTTTAACGAGTCTTAAGGACACGACCCTCAATGTCTCCAGTCTACCTGATAGACAAGTCTTAAACACACTGCATGCAGCAATCTCATATTTCCAAGAATGAACACACTAAAATTACAACTTAGAGCACCAGTGTTAGACTGACACAGTATATTGCTCAGGCTGATTAATCAGATAATGTTTGTTTTTGAGACTGCACTTTGCTTTGGCAGATAACCATTTCCACTTGGTCAGCTTTGCCAATAGATAATGCATTTTCTGTTCTCAGGATGAGATGAGTAAATGTCATGCAAAATAAGTATTCATTTCAACAACTGTGTACATCTTATTAGCCATGACAAAATTACATTCTGTAAATGCTTGTGTACTTTGCAATTTAAGTGAATAAAAACAGTGAATGTTGCAGAAGAGTTGTACAGACCGTGTATAAGTATAAAATGGTTCTCTTACTAAAACAAACAAAAAAAAACCTTACGTTCCTGCTGCTTCGTGTTATCCAACTTATTTTGCAATGTGGAACTAAGCCATTTTCTGTGAATGTGTGAGACTTGTGATTCATCATTAGCCACCATAGGACAGTTATTAGAAGAATAACAGTGCAGTAGACAGAAAACTGCCTGTGCTACAAATAATATTTATACAAACAGCATTTATAATGATGACAATACATTAAAATATTAGACCAGTTTGCAGTATCAAGCAGCATAACAAGCCATTTCATACAGCTAAAAATAACTGGAAGCCTATGACACCAAAAGCCACACACATTCAAATTACAAATGGCCTCATCCGCTCTAATGTTAAAAATAAGATGGATACTAGTAATTGACTATAAATATAGTCATAAATGGTTTTCTCAGGTCATGAACAAGATTTTCTGAGGTGAGAAATAACTGAAAAATGTTCATGAACTAATAGTTTACAACTAACTGAATTTAAAAGTTGTGATGAAACAGAAGTAGCAACAGATCTTTTCTTCTGTATTATGTGTATATATATATATATATATAATTACTGTGTGTAATGGATTATTGAAAAAGATCAAAAATTGTACACAATATGATCTATAATGCGTTTAGCAAATAAATGGGGTGAATTTCATATTAAATTTAATCAATAAACCACAAAAACCAGACATTAAGAAGAGACTGATGAAAATGACAGATATATAAAAAAAATATCTAAAGTCTGTGATAAGAATGAATTAGTAGACGATCTTCATACTGCTGCTTGACAAAGTGGAGAATGAGGGTAAGCAGTGAGTGACGTCATTGACAGGCCTGAAGCACTGCTTCGTCACTCTCTTTAGCAGCTGCTGATCAGTGGAGTGACAGACCACTTTAAGATAAACACAGCATTACGCTGCTGACAAAGAGCAGCATTAGCCAGCAGCTAAAAGCCAGATTAATGGGGTTTATCGATGCGAGGACAGCAGAGCTAATAAAACATTCTACTTTGTCGATTTTCCAGCAACCAGAACTTGTTCAGACAAGCAGATAACAAATTCTCCAGAAGATCATCCAATCAGGGCCAAGGGATCATTGGGTGTTCACTGGAACAAAACCATTTTAGAATTGGAAATGCTTTTTTCTCGTGAACTGACCAGTTACTGACTGCAGTGAAGAAGCCGTTACACATCAGAACACAATTTTGCGGAAGACTGGAAATAGAATGGAAGAACGATCTAACATCTAGGAGGAGATGAGAGATGATCAAGATGGTAGTCATCTTTCCCATTGCTGCAAATTAACATGAATACCATATGAATGCTGCCTTCAATATGAAGTCTATTTAATAGCAACAATGAACTCTTTTCTGCATTCCTCACACAACAATCAACATATAAACAGAACAGAGAAGACAATTTGTCATGGCTGAGTCAGCAGTTTCCTGCCCCGTTCCTGGTTAAAGTGTTCCCTTTGAGGTTGTGAAACCTCACACAAACAACCCTTATGGCTTTAATAAGACAAAACACTGGAACACATTATTGAAGAATCCGGAAATGGCCAAGAATTAACTCTTACATTTCATATGTAAACCTATAAATAATATCAGGGGCAATACAGTCCATCCTATAACAGGACAGGGAACAGCCACTCAAAATCTTCAAGCAAGAAGTAAAAACTAGGGATTCACTTTTTCTAAATTGTTGAAATATTTGAGAAATATTTCCAAGACCACACCAACAAGCATTTACAACCATTAAATCATTTTAGCCATCCTACTCTACACATTTTTAGGAAAGTAACTTCCCTTTCTATGCTATCCTAGGCAGCAGTATAACAATAATGTCCAAATAATTTCACTCTTCATTATTGACTCTTTATGTAAGGACACTGGGCTGGTGAATAAAATATGAATGACAATACATGCTAATAGTGAAACACTACATGTTTACTACAGGATTATGTAGTAAACAAACTAGCAGCCCCTCACTACAGGTAAACAAACTAGCAGCCCCTCACTACAGGCCTCTAATGGGCATTATCTTTCACATCCTAAATGAACTCTGAATTAGTGGTCGACCGATATGGGTTTTTTTGACAGCTGATGCCGATATCTTGGAAAGCAGGGTGGCCGATGGCTGATATAATTTTATTTATTTTAATTAATATTTAAGAAATTTGAAATCATTTGAAAATGGGTTAACAATAATTGTGTAAAATAAACATACTTATACTTTAGAAGACAAAGCATTTTTCACAAATAAATATTTAATAAAAATCTAATTGAAAAAGAAGTAAACATTGTAACCAACAGGGCACTCAGAATTCTGGGAAGTTTGTGTGCATTGGGAATCTTTTTTTTTTTTCCCCAAATAAAGCCAAGGTAACACTCATTTTACATACAGCACACAGTGAAAATTACATGAATATGACAGTGGGCAAATGCATAAAGCGCAGCATAATTTGAAATCATGAGTTTAAAGTTTGTCGATCGCGCGTCTCCAGTGAAGCTGAACTCTCCTCCTATCCACATTGAATTGGCACGGACTGAAAGTCACACAGAGAACACGCGATCATGCAGGTCACATGCACACTTCACAAGATCTCAACTAGATTCGACTAAGTCTGCAAGGTTTGTGAAATTAAATATTCATTAGTCATTCAAAGATTTGTTTAAATTATATAAATGCGTATTAGCTGAATGCTTGACGGCAACCGAGAAAGTATTATAATGTTTGCCTTTTTATTACTAATAATATTAAAGCAATCATTATAATACTTTTTTGTATACATTTTAATTCCTTTGTTTAACAGTTCCATCTGATTATTAGTAGGGATGCGCCGATCCGATATTCATATCGGGTATCGGCTCCGATAGTGCCATTTTTCTCGGATCGGGTATCGGTCAGAGAGAGCCGATCCAAATCCGAGATTTTTTTTCGATTGTGCAAATTATTCCATGTTACTTCTGAAGCCATACGATAGCTTAATGTGAGCTACATATGAATATTTAAGTCCTTACATTAAAGTTCACACAAACTCTCTCCGCTGTGGCTGTCAGTCATTCGCTCAGCCTTTAAACCCTGGTCGCGTTCGGTTAACTTACAGCAGTCAGCTCGGTAAAGCTCTCTCCAAGATCATTCTGTGTTCCCATTATACTTGATTTGTAAATACATGTCTATGATTTAGCAAAAAGGACTTCTTGCCGGAGTTTAATGTTTTGTTACTTGCTACCAGGTGTCTGTGAGAACAGAACACGGGCGTAGAAAAGACTATCAATAGTTTTTAACGTGCACAGTAACTGAAATTTAAAACTGTTAAAAGAAAGGCTCAATAACTGTTGCACAGATATAATACACTACGCATCAGTTTCTCTTCCCTTTGTGCTTTGCAGTTTTTAACACGAAGCGCTTACATCACATTGTAAACGCTTCGTGCTCATAGACTGTCAAGCCTCTACATTGCGAGTAACTCACTCACATATGCGACTAAATCTTCACTCTGGGCGACTAAATTATGTCTAATATCAGCCAATGGCTAATCAATTCTCAGATTTTACTCGCCAGTGTGTGAGTTGGATGCTGAGTATATGATTA